GGTATACATAGCCTATCATTCACATTAGTTCATTCGAACAATAGACCCTGAGTAACTTTATGATCAGGAAACTCTGCTGGTTTTTCTTGTATTTGCTTAATCATGGTCCCATAGATAGAATCAAAGGAATATGCCTTCCTAATCTTTTCTTGTAGGTCAGCACCCACATCTAAGTAAGTCACTATAGCACCGAAAAAGTTTGATCTACGACTAAGTGCGTCAGCAACAACGTTATACTTACCCTTTACTGGCTTCAATTAAAAATAAAACATATCAATTTCCGCAGCCCACCTTGTCAACTTAGGTGTCATTCGAGCTTGCGTTTTGAGCCAGCGAAGCGTCTCATGGTCGGAGTATACCTTAAAATGCCTTCCCAGAAGATAGTGTTGCCAATGATTGAGAGCCTCACGAAGAGCATACAACTCCCTTTCATACGTCGAGGCGGCCACTTTCTCATTAGGTAACCGGCAAGACATAAACTCCACAGGTTTCTATCCATGCCCATCGTCTTGCTGGAGTACAACACCTATACCATATTGAATAGCGTCGGTCGTGACTACGAAAGGTAAGGAAGGGTCTGCCACTTTCAAAACCAGATAATTGATCAAACACTTCTTTAGACGCTTGAAAGACATTGTGCAGTCCGAATCCCACTTCCAAATTACCTTTTTCTTAAGCAACCTGCGAAGGGGAGCAGCTATTATCGTAAAATGCCTTACAAACTTGCGATAGTAGTTGGCTAACCCAAGGAACGACCGCAATTCAGTTAAGGTGCGGGGGTTCGGCCAATCTCTGATTGCTGCTATTTTGACATCTTCCGATTTGACCCCATCTCCATCAATCACATGTCCTAGGTACAATACATGACGCTTAGCCCATTCGCACTTCTTTGGGTTTAATTTGAGTTTTGCTTCTCTTAGCTTATTTAGCACAAGTCGAAGGTGCTCAGCATGCTCTTTTTCATCTTTGCTGAAAATCAAAATATCGTCTAGATAGATAACAACAAATTTGTCGAACCATTCACGAAATAGTTCGTTCATTGTTCTTTGGAAAGTGGCAGGGGCATTCGTGAGACCAAAGGGCAAAACTATAAACTCATAATGCCCATACCTTGTCCTGAAGGCAGTTTTATGTTGGTCTTCCGGCTCAACCTCAATCTGATGGTAGCCGGATTTCAAATCAATCTTTGAAAATATTTTGCTACCCTGCACACTATGAATCCCCCCCGGCGGCGGACAGGCGCGGCCAAGTCCGCGGCCGCGGCCAGTCCGCGAAGCCCGCGGACGTGTCTGCGCGGACGCGCGGATTTGCGGACACGTGGCGGCTGCAGGGGAGGGGGTTTCACAAATCCGGCGGTGCCACGTGGCGGCGCATCCCCTGCCCCACCCCCCCACACACAAAAAAAACGAAAAAAATGAACTTTTGGTGGGGGGGCTATGGGTGAAATCCAACGAAATTGGA